CTGACCGTCAGGTGTGACAAAGGCAGTTGCCTCTTGTGAATCCTCTGCTATAGGGATTTGGTAGTACCCAGATGCAAGATCAAGACTGATGAAGAGAGAATTTCCCGACAATCTATCCAGTTGGTCGTCAATCAGTGGTAAAGGGTAATGTTCTTTACGAGTCTTGTTATTCAGCGCTCTGTAATCGACGCAAAGCCTTTTCTCACCCGTTTTCTTCTTCACAAGAAGAATAGGACTCGCATAGGGTGAGTTAGACTCACAAACAATATCGGCATCGATCATCTCCTTTACCATTGTGCGAACCAATTCACGTTCCGGATATGAAAGCCTATAGGGACGGTAAACGACTGGATTCGCATCGTTCAGTTCTATTTTCATCTGTAGTATGTTAGTATACCCTAAATCAGCTAAACAAGAGGAAAAACAGCCCTCATACTTTTTTAATAGAGACTTCAATCTCAATAACTCATCATCGGATAAGTGACTACCATAATTAAGATCGGAGCTCGAGTCATCTTTGGTAAAATCCAGTATGTTTATTTCAAAACCTTTTTCGAAACTGAAAACTCGACTAACTAATGTGTCTTTACTTAGCAAAAGTGAATGGTCGCTAAAATTTTGGATTAGAACTGCTCCTAAACTATTTTCAAGAAAATATTCACCTGGTAATAAGTAAAATTCTTTACCAGGCTGACCCCTTAATGAACCCCTGACATAAATAGACCCAGAGCAGCTTCTGTCGGAATAGACAGGAACCACAGTCATTTGTTTTGGTTGAATTTCAACATCCGTTTTAAGAAGTAGCCGCAATTTGTTATTCCCTTCCTTGCTAAAGATTAAAGAATCTGAGGTTTTCGTGATAATGATACCGGGTTTTTCTGTAAAGCTGTGACCAACTAACACAGGGTATTTAATCATACCATCTTCAACTATGTAAACGTCGACCGTCTCTACGATATTACTAATGCTCATTTTCACACATGCCTTTCCCAGTGGAACAACTATATTATTACCTAATCCTCTCATAACTGGTAACTTGCCTACTGACCAAGTAACTCCTAATGATTTTGCTACACTATATTGTATCAATGTGCACTGACTGCCTAAATCTACGTATCCTCTAACCAAAACATCGTTAATCTTTAATGAAATCATATATTTCTCATTACTAGTATCTTCAACATCGACTTTCATAACCTTCTTTTCTGTACTAACATCTTTACTCTTTTCATTAGATAGTTGCGGGCAATCAATCGTTACATGGCCAATCCTCTTACAAATGTTACATCTCCGCAACTTTTGTGGACACTTAACACTAAAATGACCTACTTCTTTGCAGTTAAAACATGTTATTGACGTACTAGATGATGGTTTAGAGGTCTTAGAGTCATTTCCTACTGATTGTTTAGTGTTAAAGTTTGAATTCATCGATGACATATGATAGGTCTTTTTATCTTGGCCGATTTTAGACTTATCAAAATCGCGGCTTTGTTTAATAGATTGAAAGTAATTAAGAACCTCTTCAGGTTCTTGGCATTTCGCTGCTTTAGCACCAAGTCGTAAGGAACGATCCTCAATGCCATAGAGCAGGCAATCAACGGCACGTTTTCCGAAAATCTCGCATCGATTCAGTAGGTTTAATTTTTCATAATAATATAATTCTAGCGATTCATTGTATTTCACACGTTTATTCAACATTTCAGTAAGAAGTTCTGCGTAATCATCACTACTAGGAAAGGAATCAATTAATTTACTTTTCCACTCAGGCCACGAAAATGACATTGAAGGCAATGCTTGGTACCACGTACGAGCCACCCCCGCAAGTCTGGGCAGCGCGTAGTGAATAATCTGGTCATCACCCCAACGGTATAGCTTCGCACATTCGTCGACCTTGTTGAGCCACATGTGGACCGTCTGGCCTTTGATCATGGGGTCGAACTCAGGAATGACATTACCTAGCATTGGAAATTTATTCCCTTCTGGTTTCGCGGCTGACAAAGATTTTAACAACTCGTTCAAAAATAACTGAGTCTCGCTGTTAGCAAACATAGATTTGCTTACCTGGGTATTTTCGCGTGATGCATTACTTACTACGGTGTTCGATGAACTGCTTCGGTTGGATAGTCGCCTCCGGGTACTGGTACGCCTCTGCTCGCTCCGTTTCTTTATCGGACTTCGGCGTGAACGACGCTCAGCCTCGCAGCTACGATTCCGAGTTCGCCGATGACGACCACCAGCTCGTGTTCGGGATCTATTCCTCTCGTCCTGTTCACTCTCACTCCACTCCATCGTTAGGCTTCGGCGCGAACGACGCTCAGCTTCACAGCTACGTTTCCGGTTTCGCCGACGCCGTCTATCAGTCCGTGTTCGAGATCGACTCGTCCTCCCCTGGTCACTTGAACCGCTAGGCGTACTTCTTTGCTGCCTACGACGCTTCTTCTCGCTCAAGTAGTTTTTACTTGCTCCATCATCGTAGCGACGCTTGCGTTTCTCACTCATAATAGGTGTACGTAAATGAGACCGACTTCTTCGTGATACACCGTGGTCACGGTCCATTTCAAGATTTTTTTCAAAACTTGTGGGTGATTGTATTTTAAAATTCTTTGGCGTATTTATTTCCTTATATTTTCAATACTCGTGGGCGTTTTGTAATTATCCCACTTCTGAGTTGTAATAACTAGATCTTAACTCAGAAATAAAACAATGAATACTTGAATATTCTACGTTATAATTATAATTATTCCAAATTATATATCTTATTGTTGAGTTCAACACAGTTCGAATTCCCGCCAAAAATCCGAGTGGTCCCCGTTAATGTCGACATCTAACCATAACTATTAAATTAGTCGACTATTACTTTAGTGGTGGGTATCACTTTTACATACTAAAATACAGAAGTGTTTACTTGTCTATGACAGTAACAGAGACTTGTCACCACAGAGTACTATAGTATAAACCTGTCACTTTACAAATAACAATGTTGACAATAAGTTTACAATAAAACTATTAGTTTTACAATTGACACTGATTATTATTAATTACGCCATTAGATATCCATTTTAACAGTAAATCTGATTAAAAAGGGAAATAAAACACAAATTGTAAAATAAATACTTTATAATATGTTTTTGTTAATATTTTACTATAATACATATCACTTCTTTTCTTACAATGGAATTCATTTGTATGAACTAATATTTAACATAAAGTAGGTATTAAAGTAAAATACTAATAAAATATTGAAAGTTATAAAGAAACTAAGAAGACTAGTAAAATTTTATTTAGCACAGACACGCTTTTATTTATTTGTTATCACACCCTATGACTTTACGGAAAAATGGCCAATGACAATAAAGGTAAATAAATATTTATCGGTAAAGACTTCAAATTCTTTAAAATTGCTCTAAATTAAAAACATTGGCATGCATTTTTTGTCAAAAAATTTTATTTAGGTAGATTAGTCCAAAATCATCACTGTGATTACTGTCAGAGTCAAAAGTGGATGTTTTTATAATCTCATCTCAAATTTTATGAATAAACGGTTGAACAATACGGAGTCGAAATTTGTGTAATATAAGTGTATCATGTCGTGTCAAACACAATATCAATATTAAACTCAAAATATTGCTTTAATTTACGAAACAAAAATTAAATCAATACTTAGTAGGTAACACAGATTATTAATTGCACACTGCACAAATGTCATCGTTCCCGCCAATTTTTCAAATACACAGATGTTTCTATAAATATATACATATTTATTTTTATCTGTACAGATACTCTAAGGCACCTTTTATTCATTCACACTTCATTTTTTTATTACTTAACTTGAGATGTTTTATATGAATAAATCTCATTTAGGTATTTGGTCCCAAAACTATAAGATTTTAATAACAATTATGTAGTTATATTAATATAATGCCAACCTTAGTGTAGTACCTAATGTGAAAGATATATTAAAATACACGATAACCTATTGTACTTGTAACTACATGGCTTTTGTCTTAGCTACCGTCTGTACTTTTCACAAGTTAATAATTGATAATTACAAAATAATATCTACTAATATCCTATGATAGTGTCTGTTCATTGGTATTAAATCCATACCTAGATTGATTAATGTTTTGATATTTTGCAGTAAATAGAAGGTCAATTTGTGTGTTTAATTTACACTAGTAGTTAGTCATAATTATTTACCGTTAATTCTTAGGTCGTTTATTTTATCTTTGTCATGATATAATAATAATATGTATAAAACCTCCCTAGGTTACCCAGTAGCTTAACGCACAGGTAATAAACAAGTATTAGTTAGAACACAGACAAAAAGAAAGCAGTTTAACTTGGTTCCAAATTCAACTGCATTTGTTTTCGTAAATAGTCGAACCAGTTTCAAAGAAAAGAGGTTGGAACTGAGACAGAAATATGTATTGTCTAATGTCATACATATTGGTTATTTTGTCAATTCTATTCAATAGTCAAAATAAGTCAAGATTTGTCTATATCTTTTTCTTTGTCGTAAGTAATTATGCACATTTTCTTTGAAAACTGGTTTGACACCATTCCTTAGAGCTTCTTGACTGCTAGTTAGAAACTACGAGTTATCCTGTAAGCTGTACAGGCAAACAGGTCATGAAATGCTAACTAAATTCATGGCAAAGTGACCTTTATTACTGAGTTTTAATGGTAAATTGTATTTGTAATTATTGACTGTTCAGGAACAATAGATTTTATTAATCATAAAGTCCATTCTATAGAAATGCGTCAACATTTTCAATACCAAATGTAATTATTTATTAGTATAAATTCTCACATACATTTCAAATTTTTTACAGTTCATACCTATGAGTTCTGTTGCATAAATTTGATGAAAATTTTTTTGCTTTTAGTTTATCCCTTATCTTCATAGCAATAGATATCAAAATTCATTGATTGAACTGTAAAAAAACCTTGTTGAAATTCTAAAATGAGATTCAATACGGTTGGAAATTGTCTAGGGAATAATTTTTTTAGAAAATTACGTCATTAAATCAATTAGGTATGGTAGACATTGGTAGGTCATTGATTTTAACGAGGCAACTAAGTCAGTCCAATTTTCTTGGTTGCTTTCATCACGCGCTTTAGTATGACTGGTAAAAGGTGATTGGTAGAATCTTAATATTTCTCTAATCGCGCTAATCTTCCATTTTCTTTTTAATTTGATGATCGATATAAGAACTGAATTGAAATATAGCAAAAAAAAATACAACAATTGGTAGATAAATGAACACCCTGTGTCTATAATAACAACCAATCACAATTCACCAGTCTCTAAGCATATACCAATAAGATACAATTTCGCTTAATTAAAATCATATTTCTGTGTCAATCATTGTCTTTTCACCACTACACTTAATACTAAAATTGTAATAGTCTACTTAAAAGCTACTAAAACTGAGTTCGTGAATTCAATCAGGAGGTTCTTGGTGAGAGCAGTGTGGAACTGGGGTTGGGGATGATTTGAAGGCTCGGGGGAATAATGAGGAGTAGGATGGGGGTGGTTCGTATTCAGGAGGGGAGGGAGGTAGGGGTTGGGTGAAGAGCTGCTGTGAAGCTGCCGTCACTGTCACTGTAGGAGAGAGATCGATGCAAGATGGCGGGATGTTGACTGGCGTGTCTGACGGCTTGGAGCGCTTGCAGCAACATTCTGGAAGGTAAAATGGTCACGTTATTATTTAGACTTTCAAACGCGGTAATTCGAGACACAATAGTTGTGCGAACGCCGGCGTTCATTAAGGGGTTTGATGGATTTAGCTTAGAATTGATTTACACCTCCACCTCACGAACTTCCTAAATTGCTGTATATCACCTACCACACATCTCTGCACTACCAAAAGGTTGACTGGCAAAAAATGCTTCTGGCATTAAGTCCTCCGATATGCAATTGTAAATAAAGAATAAATAAATAAATAAATTTAGTGAAGTACCTAACTAATTACGTAATAAAATTGTCACGTACTGGTCACCAATATATAGGAAAGATTCATCTTGGCGATTGCCTTTGGAGTTTTTCCATTTACGACTTCTCAGTACAGAATTTGTCGTATAACGAAGTCATGCATGTATAAGTGTTGCAGTTTATATTGTGCCCATCTGTGTATACTTTTACAAAACAAACAAAATAATTCAGATAGATCAAAGTACAATATAAACTCATATTTATCTACCTAATTAACTACGGTATACTATTCGAAGTAAGAGACGCTTTGTTAATAAAAGTAGCTACCTATATCTTGTTTAAAAATGGTCTTATCTACTCACCCCAAGCCAAGCAGAACATGAGTATAGTGGCGCAGACCAGCATGCCGACCACCAGGTAGCTCCAGGGTCCGTACGGCTTCAGCGCAGCCGCAAACTCCATGAAAGCATTCGACGGCTTCTCACTCTCACTGATCTTCACTGAAAGGGTCAAATCGCCTGTTATCAGTTACAATCTGCGGTTCAAATTTAACAACTGGGTTTAATATCAACTAAATTATAGTTAAGTATTTAAGTAACCAGCCTGACAATAGTGATATTCTCAAAAAAGTATTTTGCTACAAGTGTTATCATAATTGGTCAAGTCGTTTTCGAGTTTTGCACTTACAAACCGAGTACCTAATAAAATGCGAGATGCGAGATAAGTCATAAAATTCAGACCTAACTTCACTTTTATTATTTAAAAAATTACGGGTACAAGACGATAGCTACATTAGTAAATAATTATCAAAAGAAATATAAAAAGGTAAAGGTAGACTTAAACTGACTTTTACAAAATTAATTTAACATTAACACCACATCTTCATTTAGTAAAATGTTTACAAAAAAAACTACACAGATTAAACACAAACACGTATAAGTAATATCATCTAAACTTTGTTTGATTGAAAGACCGTATATCTGATCGACTACATAAACGTAGGTAAATCGTCAGGACAAACTTATTCAAATCTACCTACAATTTTAGTAACTTAATCGGAAATATTTTGTATACCGTCTATTTGTATCCGCACTCTATTAATCGTATATGATATATATTTTTAATGTTTGTTTATAGCTCTTCGAAGTGATTGTTGATATTAAGAAATAATTTAATTTTTAAAACATTTCAGTTTCATTGATCAAATATTTTTACAGATTAAACAAAAAATAATAATAATCGCTTATTTATAATTATTAATTTCACATGTAAACTATTACCGACGCACCCAACAAATGTGTGTCATTTCATATTGCACATTTGGAGGTAAAAGTAAAAACATTATTCATAATGCATTTATGACACACGCGTGACAAACAATATTTCAAATTCCCGCCATTCATAAATGGTGTTGCAAATATCCAAGGAGTTTTGAAGAAAATCTAAACTAATATTATAAAGAAGTACAATGTATGGGGTAAGGTCTCTAACAGTTGGTCTAATAAAAAAAAAATCTTACACTGATAGATAGCTACAATATTCCTATGTGTTATATAATTATACTTTATATGGGTTTTCAGTCGAGTTATCGCTTTAAACGCCGTCGTCTTGAAAATCCCAGGATACATCAGTTTTATGACGCGTGCGAAGCTGCGGTCGGGAGCTAGTCTTTGAATATACATACATTACTATGAAGTCTATTATTTTATGACAACTTTTATAAGGAAACAGATATCAATAGGTACAGTTAATGGCTCGTCTCATTTGTTTTGACTTCAATTGATAATAATACGGACATTCCCCTGACATTGTGAGATAATGTAATGATAATGGTTTTCGTATTATACGCGTATGTGCGAGCGTATACGCGATCAATTACTTGCAACTTTTCATACAAAGTTTCAAATAATTGAAACTGCTAAACCGATTTTAATGAAACTTGATACTCATAAGTACGACATACTCGTATATTATGGTCAAACAACCAAAAAATCGTTCGGTTAAAGAATATTCCAAAAATGTATTTTATGGATGTCAAGCATGAGTAGATATGATTCATCATTCAAATCCATCATCCAATCTATCCATAGGGGTATGAAAATCCATGCGGCGTGAAGGTATATGACATATTTATTACATACTATAAAATTAATATGTTTTATAGTAGGTAATAATAGGAGTATCTATGTAATTTTATCTTGACAATTTTATACTAAGTAATAGCACTTTGCCATCTGCAAGAAGTACCCATCTAAATGCTGTAATTTATTTATAAGAATATTTTCTATAAATACTCGGCTTTTATATCTTTTTTACTGTATACAATGCTTTTGTTGTAAGGACAAATTATTTAGTAGGTACCTCCTTCCGCCCTAAGCGGGTCGAAAAGCAGTACAAGGCTCTTACTAACACAGACGAGGCCGATTATTTCACCAGTAACCTCCTGGTATCAACCCTGATGGGGTTCATCCCCTATCTGTAGCAACCTATCCATATAAAAACCGAATATCTACATAGAAAACACAAAAAAAAACTTACTTATAACAGAGGGCTTTGTCATTCCATCAGGCTGGTCTAACCCCAGCAACTCTTGATTCCTTGCAGCAAATCTCCTAAGGAGTTCGAGGAGTGGGGGATCATGCCTATGGGAGCAGGCTGCTGGATCCTCGTCCTCTCCTCCAGGGCAGTGCCTGACTCCATCACAGACCAGGTACGAGGATATGCAAAGGCTTGTCACACCGCAAATGAATTGGGAATCGTTGTTGCATATGGAACCTGAAAGTTAATGAATACTGGTATTTTTTTTTTATTTGGAATAGTATAACAATTTAATCTTAAGCCGTAGTAATCCAGGGTTATAACCTGGTCACAGCCCCAGTCCTGAAAGCTTCGAGGTTAAGGCACCTACGTCTCTTGCATGAGCACCTTCATAAAGGATTGGAAACCAGGCATAAATACTTTATTCCACGAAAGACAGTGATATATAAATAAATTAAGAAGTTACCGAACATATAACTCGAAAAAAGTCACATTGTTGGTGACTTTTTCGATCACCACTTTTCCGAGTTTTGAATTCGCTTCCTAATGCCAAGTTTCGAATCGCGCTTAACTACCGGACCATCACGACAACGAGTGGAATACTTATACGAAATTAGATGCACTTAAAATCGAACGATTACTACAATTTTAAGTGTGTGCAATCTAAGTGTTCGTCGCTGAGTACGTATTAACTTATTAAGATACGCAATCATTGAAACATGTCACGCATTCACGGTCTGTACCAGTTTCGAAACAGTGAGTGCTAGTCGTGTGACAGACAGATAACAAACATTTTTTTTCACCTGAGAACTATTTTGAACTTATAAATGAACCCAGTCACAGTTGCTTTTGCTATTTTAATTTTCAAGTGACTCCTTAGCTCTGGATGTGTGTGATTGTGAGCCCTCATCATGGCTTGAAATTATACGATACACCTCGTAAAGTGTATTTTGCAAATTTCTGTTATTTAACTTTGTATTAATTTGGATATATGAACGAGAGAGAAAAAAAAGTACTGTCAATTTTCCACTTTTATCATCTTTTCATAAAGTTAAAGATTCGAATGTCAAGGAACTTGTTGTGCCTGATGGCATAATTACTATCTCAGTCTTCTTAGCACTTACCACTATTAACAGCAGTGACAACAAGCCGCAACTTCTCGGTGTGTTGGTAAGGGGAGGTGGGGGGGTTCCACACTATCTTCAGTTTAGAGGGCAGCAGCTTGGTACCAGCCCTCGCTGCCACTGCTGCAGCGTTACCTCCACAGAGGTTGAGACGCCACATCGGAGTTTTGGCATCGCCGATATACTGAAAATAAGTATAATACAGATTTATAATATCAATGCAGACACCTTGTTGCATGTATTATTATATTGTATCTATACATATATTTTATGTTGAATAATTGTTTTTTGTTTTATACTCTGCAGTCTTCTAGTTACAGGCGCCCAAAGCACGGGGGACATCTACCTATACTAATATTAAGTATAAAGAGAAAAGATTGAATAATTATAATGTTTATATAAAATATGAATTGAATAGGCTATGAAAGTTCTTGTAAGTCTTTTTGACAAGACATTAAGGTTTCATTTTAGTTTTAAACCGTTGATGAGTCAACAATGTCAACCAACCACACCACCCTGAATAAAACCGGGATACCTAAGACTTCTATATTAATGAAGATAGGTATACCCAATCCTACGCGTGCTCTGAGATTTAATTCAAAACGGGCCCAAGTGGACAAGAAAACAATACAATGATTAAAGTAAAGTACTTGTTAAATAATTGAGGGCATTTGACATCAATTAACCCGAATATTACCGTATTACTAAGTGAACAATCACGATATCTTTGCAATATTAGATGATATAATTACAGAAAAATCATGGATGTCAGCATGTAAAAGTTTTCGTATCAATTATTCGGGGTAGAAATGCTTGTTATTCACAATATCTGGTCTTTCTGCAAGTAAGCCAGAGTTAAGCTGAGATACCCATCTCTTTCCAATACCCACTTTTCACCTCATTTGTAGAATTAAGCTGGTTTTACAAAAAAAAAATCATTTTACATTTCACATACACCTTACATCCAAAAACGAAACAACATTTGCAAGAATTGAACACTTCAGCCTTTTGCTCAGCTCCGCGATCGTGCGCTCATAAGCCGTGACTAACTTTTAAACATTAGGTAGAATTTGGTCAAGTAGACGTAACTAAGTACTTCGAAAATCGTACTATCGTACATTACAATAATCGTACATTGAAAAATATGCCCTAAAAGCACAAAAAGTTTAATAAGAACAAAAACAATCGAATAATACTCACAATAAGCAGCTTGCAAGCATCGGTACTGTTGTTGACTGGCGCTGATTGGTCCGTGGCAGTGTCTTGCGCGTGCGCAGCTGTCCGTGCGCTCCATTTGCGGCTTAACGCGCCGGCTACTGGTGGCACCTGGATATCTGTTATACCTCTCTCCCAATCTGTTAGTGATTCCTGAAAACAATGAAAATAATATATGTATAAGTAATTGGTTAAAAGAAACCAAGGTTTCATCTTCACGGGGATTGTATGAATCGGCAAGCTATTTTAATATTACGAAAGTACATGACTGATTTCAATATTTATCTTGTCAAAAAGACAAATTCTATGTTAGCCATCACTAACCAATGGATTTTAAGCACTCATAGAGACAAATAATCCTAATCGAATCCAGAAAAAAACCACTAAGCTTTAAAAAGTTTAAAGAGTTCATTTAAGAGGAAATATTTGTTTGGTATTTATAAATTAAACTTTATTATACACACAGTTTAAAGGCAGACCGTCTTTTAGGTTGAGGTAAAATCAACGTATGATTTTTGGCGCTCAGGGTAGAGATCAGAGTGTCAGACTCTTACTGACTAAAAATCCCCCGTTCTTTCTTCTGCTCCAGGCCGATACCGAACGTATTACGATTTAATTAGCGTGTATTGAGCCAGTATCTTAAAATATAATAGGTCTTTACCAATGAAATTGCCGTTCTGCAGTACTGGCCATTTCCAATCAAAATAGTTTTTGTTAGGCTAAGGCTAATTAATTTTGTTTTAAAAACATGGGATTATTAGTCATTTGTTTATTGATTAGTGTTACATTTTCATCGCATTTCAAATAAAAAAAATCGTTTCAATTTTTTCATGCAAAACGGCAATTTCATAGGTAAAGATCTATTATTAATGAAAGGAAACCTACAATAATAAAAAAAGCAATGGAAAACTTTCAAGCAATACAAATAAAGATGGATATACTATTCATCCCAAAGTGATAAGAATTCGTTATTAACCAGATTAAGGCAAAGCAGCACAATTGATAAACATTACGAATCCTGCCACATGGTTCAATTTGGCGCTGATCTAAATATTTATAGCTAGTCGACGGGCGTTGAATTGTAAAAACCCATTGTTTCAAAACTATTGTTACCTTGTGCATACGTACAAGTTTAACATTCGTTCTTTTTGCACGACCATAAAGTATTGCAAATATACGCAATGAGTAGCATTAAATCTGGATTTGTTACTCCCCTTCGGAATAGATGGAGATGCATATAAACTACACCCACTTTAAAACTAACTACGTTTTCGATCTGTAGCCGTTGATATCTAGAACTTAGTAGTAGGTACAGATCCTGGTTAAATATGACAAATGACGAAATGCGGTAAACGAGAACTTATCAGGCTACTTTTTCAGGAAATTACCATTAGGTAGTTTTATAACTGAAATTCATATTTATATCATTCATTTCAATCCATTGAGATTATAATAATGATGCATTGCACAATTATGGAAAATTATCAAAATTAGAAACAAAAATGTCAATTAGAAAATTATGTAAAATACAAATAAAGTGTGCTGCGTACATGTATAGGCAGTAATTAGCGTCGCCCGTGGTTATAAAATAGGACAGCAAAATGGCAGTTATTCGAAATATAATATAAAATAAAAAAAAAGATTCCATTTTCAAACAGTTTTTTATCATAGGTAACGGACTATCGAATCCTCTTTAGTATTCCTTAAAAGTACAAATTGTATACGCAAGGCCATATAATGCAAGAATTTACGATTCAAATTGCACATTTTCATACCAGTTCCAGAATTAGTACTATAATCACGGACGACGGTTTATTTCCTTTAAATCGATGCAAAAAATACTGAATTTATGTAACATTGTTGTGTTTTGTTAAATCGTATTAACGTATAAACTGTAGGAAATCCGGCTTCATAACTTAAAACTACAATTTTAATAAAAATCTTGAAGGATACATAAACTTAATTGGGTTAATCAAATAGGTAATGAAGAAACATTTAATAGAAGATAAGTGTGATAAATAACTTACACAAATAAATCTAAAAAGGCTTTCCATTCATGAACAGTTTCATTTTTCTTCCAACATTTAAGCCCTGATGTCTTTCTTTCAGGCTGCAGTCTTTTTTAAAGTGTAATATAGCACCTTGTGGACGATGGATAAGAGGACTAGAAAAAAACTGGACGTGTTTTAACTGGTCGCTTAGGGGATTTGAAATTTCTTAACATACCCTTCCTATTTGCCATTATTTGTTTTATTTGTTTCTTTTATTTTAATTACGTTAAATTAATTACGTACGTAATGCTAAATAATTAAGGAACCTCTGTCCTACCACCACTAAACCAGGTCAAACTTTATCTAAGTCACATCAAATACAACATTTTACTTATCATTCATAACACATTCATAACAGAGCTCACGAAACCAACGAACGTATGTATGTATGATAAAAAATTCGAAACGCCAAACAATAGTTATTATGAAAGAACTAACAATGGAATCTCTTACCCAAGTGGACTGGTTACCATTCAGCGTGTTGCACACAAGCTAGTATACTAAGTCAACAATTAAACCATTGTCTTGAATTATTAAAGCTGAAAATCTAGATTTTTGTGAAGCAAGTTTTGGTAATAGGTTTGGACGTGATTTTGAAACTGAATGCAGTAATTACATAGTAACGATTACTTCTCTATAAGTCTCAATATTATAAAGAGGAAAGGCTCCAAATAAAGATGTTGGATTTAAAAAAAAATCAGTACGCTCTCCGCGGTGAACATTGGCTATAAACTGCGCAAGTGGAATAGCGGAGCATTGAAAAATTAAATGATTGATGCGTTTTCAGTCCAACAAAGAAAGAACTATCATCAAGATGAAGAAAGTCAGGGTTTTTTCAATCATTTGAAAACATGTATCTGATGTAGGTTATGGTTTAATAAAATTATGACTTCTACCTTCATACCAGCCAAACAAAAATGAAATACGGTCAACAAATCGAGGAAACAAAATGATATCATAAAGCATCACAAGTCACAACTTCTTACTGTAAAAAGATAGGAAGATGCCTTCTGCTGTAACCATTTTTCCGTGTTTGCGATAACTAGTAATACCCCTTATCTGCCGTGTCACATGGCGTGAAGACAAAGGAACAGTTGTGTGAGATCAGTTGCATCAGTATTACATATCGTGGAGGAAGCATACGATGCTATTACGTTGTTCAGAACAATTTACTTTTATCTAACTTATAACTGACTATATTAATGTTGATTAGATGAGTTTAAATTCTATAAATAAAACGACAAAGATGTTGCCTTCCTTCTTGGATATTAGATGCCTTTTTTGTGAGGGGAAAATCACCAATTTGCTTCTCCCGCTCAGGGTCGGGCTCGAGGGAGCTCAGTCTCTTACTGACTAAAAACACCTCTGTTCCATCTCCTGCTGTGGGCCGAGGCCGCAGTGCCTCATCACGCTTACCCCGCAAACCCAGTTGATGGATATTAGATGCTTAGTTTCTATTGAAACCTAATAAGACTTACAGGGGTGATAGCAATATAGCGCAAGCCAATCAAAATGGCGGCGTTTACGCATGCGTGAATACAAACTTATGAACAGATCACACGATGCGCCGCGTAATGCACCCGCAACGTGCAACAGAGGATGTTTGCAAGAAAGCTAAAAGAGAACTAGAGGAAGGGTAAACATTTTCCGACCAACATTTTTTTAAATAAGGGGTGCCTTGTAATGTATGCAATTTCGCAAAAACACAAATGTGAATCATAGAAAGAATTGTTCCGTGCCCACCCATCGCGTCAACCGTGCACACAGGACCGGCTCAATCGTTGTTAAGAAAATAAGTATTAGAATCGCCAGAAATATAAGTCTCACCGATTACCGAGAGGTCCTTTGATTAAAACCACTTCACCTTCACAGAGGTCAGGTTCCAAATAATCGTAAAAACATATTAAGTAATTATTATAGTTAAACGAACATTCATTAAGATTAATTGGTTACCGGTTACCTTCTACCGGATCGTGGACTTCCTTATATGCAGATAGACAATTGATAAATAGTTTATGTTTATACACAGGCTGAAAGAGAAATTATAGGAAGTGGAAAGTTTATGTAACGTAGTTATAAATGTTGTCTTTACATTGTGTTCACAATATTGTATGTAATTGCATTGAAAGGTGGACTTTCGAAATGGTTGTGAACTGCAGACAGAAGTCTTGCTTGTAGCAGGACATCTTTTAGAGTTCGTTTTCTCCTTACTATGATGGGAAAGATTTGTGTCATTTGCGGAAAAAGTGATTTTTTAATTAAGACCAACAAAAAGTATGTACTGCGATGTCGAAGAAAGTTTAGCTTGTGTATAAACATGTATATTAACAATCACTTTAGCAATATGGGTATGGACTTTAATACCGCGAAGAAACATTTTTAAGGTTAAGTAAAAACTTTTGTTTTTATAAGAAAAACATGTCTACGTGCTTGTCTGATCAATGGCTTGAAATCTAGGGAAATTTACTAGCATCAAGATGACTAATGCCAATAAGTCTTGTAGGTAGTGGCACATGTAGATAATATAAAAGTTAATGGCAACGTCACGCCTTCCGAACGACCTTCATACCCTTTACCTAGACCTAGATATCTTACAACTTTATCTAGATCAGTACTAGGAATATTATTAAAGCTACAATCTAGCTAATTGTTCTCTGAATGTTTACCAGTAATTAAGGATCCAGGTTTGTCCCTTTGAGTAACTTAGATTAGAGACTTTTCAACATCGTCTTTTTTATTGGGTAAGGCGGCTAACGAACAGACAGATATACACCTTCAAAACCAAAGGAGTTAGAAGTGTTTAGTTGCCGGTTGCAGGAATGGAAGTTTGGGAGTTTGTGAAGAATTAGACCTCCGGTATCCTTGCTCTGGTTTTTCGTGCCGACGTTAGAGCTCACATTATTCATCATCAGCCAGGATATTTATTTATATCTACAACTAAACATACTTTGCTATAGTTCCCACGAAGGACCTAGGATCTCAGTAAAGTCGCCAAATACATTTAAGGATGCTCCTGACAGTTCAGCAGTTACTGGCCGTAAAAAAAACACTAACCGCGTCGATATCGTGATAAAAGTAAATAAAATATGTACAATTGCAATATACTACATACATGGTCCTTTGTCTTCGCGTTACGTAAGAGATAGTATCAAATAACATAATTAGTTTCATTATCCAGGAAGGAAAAATCAGAAAACACACTCGTAGCTGTATGCATTTATTTGTTGATTCAATTAGTATAATCAAGTTTTCTACTGCATATTATGTAGACTTTTACAGAAACATAGCTACCTAACTCTGTGAATTTCTTAATATAAAAAAGTAATTTAAATAAAACTACTGTCTTGCTCCTATCTATACAAACTTCTCAGATTGAAATTAAAACAAAAAACTAAATGATTTACCGAGACTAAAACAAACGTTTTTTGTTTTGTTGCCAGTACTTAGCTTACTTTTACACTACTACATGTTCTAGGCACACTCTTGGAATTCAGCCTAAAGCCTACACCAAGTCAGCGACAAGGTCTAAGCACTCGTGATCCAAAAGACCTTGAGCTCATATTATTGTGTGTTGTTCTAGAATTTCTGTGTTCTCGTTACTTATTTTAATTTCCTAGGAGTTGGGTATTTCCTTCTCATTAAGTTATTTTCTTTGTATCTGGTTTAGACTATTCTGAAGTGAAGGTACGTTCTTGGTTGGAGAGTCTAAACCTAAATATTTTTGGGGTTGAATAATTAGACCCTGTAACTAAAGTGAGGGTGTTACTTAAACTAAAGAGTATTTCATGACGCCATTACTGTCGAATGTTCTGGTATTTTATTACCGCCAAAATTGGCCCCAAAAACATTAGGTATTCCAGCATAACAGCAGCTTATCTGCAGAAATTATATAACTTGTTACAAAGCAAATTCTAACGTTGTACCTAGATAGATATCTTGATTCTAGAACTGTACAATCCAAGGCTATTAACCCTACAGTTACCGCGGCCTAGTGTTTTATACTTAGTTACGGATAGCCTATAATAAACCGACCTCCGGCCATGTTGGAAAAAATACAACGTGACACATGACAGCATGATTAGTGGCCAGTACGATCGTTTGTATATTATCTGTGGTTGATGCAATATCGTGTGACAGTGACGTGACGATTGTATTTTGTTTTCTTTTTTGATGAAAGAAGCGATCATACATTTATTTCATTGCAATTTTTATATCATTTATGTCTAGTATCCACATTCAGGCACGATTGAAACGCTATAATATAATTGTCCTATAGGATGTCCGTTAAATAATCCATATGTTTTCTTTACTTCATATGTAGTACTAGTTCCTTCATAGTA